TCCACAGCATAGTTCCAGTTGGTTTATTTTTTGATGAAGCTCTGAGATTTAGTTCTAAAGTCAAAATTAAGTGTGCAACACGGGAAATATTTTGTGGAAAGGGGCTGATAATTAGGATTGCAAAATGCTGAGGTGTCTCTTCCCAGGGACACTTGCTGTTGCTCATGGGTTTGTTGCCATCTCCCCATCACTGCTGGTGTCTTCACCTCCTTCATAAACTGTACTTCAGTAACGGTGCATGTGCTGTTCCCCCCAAAACACTGAGAGATTGGAAAGGATAAGGGGTATTCCCCACAAAGATGGCTCTCAGAGCTAAAGCAATGATACAGCTTTATTTTTTAATTAGCAGAATATTATAAAAATGTTTCTTGTAGGGTGAAATTGTTCTGATTTTTAGGAAAAATCAGTTCTTTAATCATGGTAAAAATACTAACATGGAAATAATACTCTATCTATTATGGAAGGGAAAAAGGGGATTGTTAGAAGATGTTGTGTCCTAGGGAGTTCTCCATCTGTAATTCTCTACCAAAAATGAGTCAGGATGGTGATTTAGCCCAGCAGGGACGTGCTCCCTGATATGAGTGGAAGAGCACTGAAAGTGAGGTATCAGACTGGGAAATGGGTTTGTAATGATTCTGATCACAGTAGAGAGATTTTTACCTGAGGAAGAAACCATTAAACCTGTGGAGTTCGTGGGCTTCGGGGAGCCAGGTGTGTGAGCCATAAGTGCTCTTGCCCCAGGTGAACACAGGAAAACTTCACTTCGGAGTCACTACCCGTATTTGAAAGTTGTCCTTAAAATAGGGTGAGCAAATGGGTTTTGATCATTAGTCTTTCTTCAGAAACAATCCGTAATGGAAAAGGTACGAAAGGAACTTTTCAGAGAACCGCTTCTAACGTGGAAGAACCTTTGAACTGCCCGTGAGGGTGGGCGAGGCAGCCGCGGCTGCGATGAAAAAGGGTCTTTTGTTCTCTGTCCTCAGATAATGCTGCCATAAAGTGCCCTTTCTCAAGATCGTAGTTTCAGGAAGGTCAAGTGCTGGTTTGGAAGTGCCTTTGACCTTACGTATTAAAAGACAGGTTTTTACCTGCGTACACTTAAATGTTAAAAGGAGTCCAGGTCTTCAAAGGACAGCAGAGCTCAAACCTGCTGAAAGAAGATTCAAAAATAGCTCTGCAACAGGTGAAGTTTTTCAAGAAGCTCAACAAAGTGAAGAGTGATGATCTGTCCTAGATTAAGTGATTTTTCTATTTGATAGGACAACACCTCGTGAATGAGACACCGGTGGCTTTTTAGCGATCTTTGTGTGGCATCTGGGAGGTTTATGGTATTTCTCACTCATGATTCCAAACTTCTAATGATGAAAAGTTGTTCTAAAATGATAAACCTTCTTATTTTTACCTTGAACTTTAATAATGACCAGTTTATACTGGTCATTGAGCCAGACTACTCTTTTATTTAAGTAACACTTCTTTTGGTCATTGCTGCTAATGTATTTACTCATCGAGGGTACCAAGCCTCTGGACCTCTATGAGTAAACATATTCTCTTTGAATGAAATCTTTTCTTAGCATTGTTCCTCAGAATTATATCAAATCCCAGTGAAGATTTCACCTACTGATATTTTACAATCGTAGTTAGAAGTGTCTGGCTTAAAATATCTCTGAATCATTTTTAAAAATTTTTTGTAATGAACAACTTCATTTGAAGCAGGTTAGTTGTTTTTAAGGTATTGGTGTAGTTTCATTATTAAAAAAGTGATTTAAATAAAAAAGTAGTACTTTAGTTCTAAATTTGTCTAAAATATTTATGAAAAATATTTTATGGGAAAATATAAATTACGCTTTTATTTCTATGAAACTTTAAAAAACCCCATTAATATTTGAATATTCAGAGAAAGTTTTTTGCAAAATTTCATTAGCAGCAAAATTTATATGCTGGTTGATATAAGTCACTGATATTTGAGAAGCTTTGAGGGTGATCTCAAAGCTAATTTCATGTTTCCTCAGACAGAAGTGCAGCTGTTTGAGATGGATAAACATTTGGTTTTCTCTCTTCATTTTCCTTACCATTTCCTATCCACATTTTCTCCTTCCTGTTCCACAGACCTCTAAATTCTGTTACATAATGTTCTGCTGCTGCACCTCACCCGCATTATTCCAGTTCTGATGTGGTGTCCTCATGTGGTCTGGTTTTCTCAACAGCTGAATCCAACTTGTCTCGGAGTTGTAGAGATGCACTCGTTGCCTTAATTTACACCCCTTTGCAGTGGTTGTACAATTAATGTTTAGGTGGGTGAGACATTTCAAAGTTGGTGGAGACCTTGTGTCTACAGGCAGTAGATTCTGGTGTGTTTGTCAGAGAACCAGATAAACATACACCATAAGAGCTCCATCTCTCTCCTGGAGAATCTTTCTTATGCTGGAAGATCATTTTCCAGCCTGGTCTTTCCTCCAGGTGCTCGAGGTCTGTGTTGGGTTGGACAAATGCCACAGCAGCCCATAGCACACCCACAGGGGTCCTGTCCTTATCCCACCGGGCTCAAAGATCTGTGTACGGGACGTGGCTGAGGGACCTGCCCTGTGGCACAGAGAATGCCATTGAAATTGTTCCTGGAGGAGTTTGGGAAGTGTACTTAGTGATGTAGAAGTGCCTAAACTGATGCTGTTTTTCCTTGTCTGTAAACTCGGTGTTTCCAAGTTGTTCCCTTATTAGCTCTGGTTTCCTGTAGGGACCTGTCGGCACCGGTGGAAGGTTCTTGGTGGCACTGCTTAAAGAAAGGATCACTGGCTTCTGTATATCTTCCTAGAAAAACACACTCCAGCGCAGAGTATGAGACCAATTAAAAAGTTAAGCAAAGGAGGAACTGAAAAAACACTGAAATTAAGTTCCAAAATTTACACTTTACGTTCTTGGAATGCGAGTTCCTCGGTGGAGAGGAGCGCTGAGCCGCAGCACGGCTGTGGGCTGGTGCCTTGCTGTGTTCAGATGGGAGCTTTTACAGCATGTTCCTGGCAATTTTGTTATTGTTGGGCTTCCCAAACTATTTCAACAGTTCTTTTACACAAAGGCCTCCCGCTTTAACAAACACCTTTGTCTAACCAACATCAGATGTTCAGTAGGTGGTGGTTTAAACTAGATTACACAAGAGATTCACACTAATCTTTTAATGTCCCTCTTCCCCTCCTGAGAATAATAGTTTTTGAGAATAAGGTGCTTTCTTCTGTGTTTTGTTGGTATTGGGAAAAGTATGTTAGGCTTCTTATCCTTTTCTTTCCTCAATAGTTACTATGGGAACAGAGCTGGGGGGTCACAGGGGAAAATCTGCAAAAGTGGTTTCTTTTAAATTGTTCATTTTAAAAAATAAAAAGATAGCTTATTATTGTTGGAATTGTGGTACTTTTCATTCAACTTCATTGGATTGTATTGTCGTACATATTTCAGACACAAAAGAAGCACAGTGAGTGGCAAGAAAAACAGATGGGGATGTTTTTGTAGTTTTTCCTTGGGGTTAATATTTTTTTAATTGAATGCAGCTGTTGGAAAGATTTCTGTTGTTACGTATAGGTGGAGCATTAAAAATGGATGATCACATTTTCAGCCTGTTTTAGCAGAGTACTAGATTTAATTATTTTGCTGCCCCTGTTCAGAACCCTGCAGGGTTTTTTTTCTTAATAATTATATCTTAAGTTAGAGTAAGAGTTTTACTTGGCCTCTTAGTTGAATGATTTCAGTATATGGGGATAATCACCTTCTCATTCAGCTCTTGTGTAGAGCACAATTATTATGGATGAAAATACACAAAATTGTATTAGAAGTCCCCGAGATGCCTATTGTTGTTCTCACTGTGCAAGTGATGCTGCTGATTCTTTCTGCTGCTGCTGCTGACTCTTCGTGAGGTTTGGGTTGTCTGCCCTCTGATACCCTTATTCCCTAGATTTATTTTCCCCCCCTCTGTCATTTATGAGAACAGTCCTGCTGTCTTCAAATTATTCTTTGTATTCTTTCTTAGTTTGAAAAAATATGAATGTCAAAAGCCGGGAAAATGAATTAGAGAAGTTAGAAGGGATAGGGGATATTTCGTGGTAATCCAGATGATTGCAGTAGTGTCGATATGGTTTATTTTAATCACTTTCAGCTAGTGGATAGATATGATGAAATTGCTACTTAATATAATAATTTTGAATGTAGGATCTTCAGTTTGCTTGGGGAATTCCTGCTGAGATCAATACGAGTGTGGTGTGTGAATCCAGAGGCACTGTCTGGTCCTTACTCTTGATGACACTGGTGTCCACCACCTCTTCTGCAGTTCCTTCTTCCAGAGAGCTTTTAAAGTTTGTGGTTAAATGTGTCTCTATGTCGTACTCGCTTATAACAGTGATTGAGGATTATAGAGCTAAGTTTGGAAAAGCGTGTTAAAACTTCATTACAGCACTTCTATAGTGGTTCTGTCTGCTGGGGGATGAGTTGTAGACAGTTGCTCAAGTAGGTCCAGCTTTTGTGTGGTGTGTCCTGGAAGGCTGGCCATGAAAAATCACTTTTCAAATGAGAACTTAATAAAAACTTTCCTGCTCTGAACGCTAAGCCCTGCTCCCCGTGCGATTAGTGGTTTCATTTCTTTCTCAGCAGTTGGGTAATGATTATGGCTCCAGATGCTGCAGGAGTGATAAAGAGAGTGATTAATTTCACTTGAAAGGGCATATGTTCAAAGAGGAGCCAGCCCAGCGCCTCGGAGGCGGAGCTGAGTGTGTGCCTTGGTACCCAGCGGATCCCGGGGAAAGGGCTGTACACCTCCCTTATTTCCCCTAAGCCAATATATTTGCTGCCTGGTTTTTGTCTATTCCCCCCCACCCCACCCCCCCTTACTGTATTCCACAGGATCTGTTTTAAAGGCTCTTTGTGGCTCTGTAAAGCAGTGCTGTCAGACTTTCAGCAGAAGGCGTTGAGAAGGGGCTGATTGCAGCGGCCAGGTGGAGGGGAGCAAGAACACTGATACGATGTGGGTAAAGCAGAACTCCGTTTATTGAAGCTTCTATGACTACATTTATGTTTGTTTCACTTCCGTACACGCGATCACGCATAAGCTTATTGGCTAAGTCACCTTGTCCACGCGCAATACATTCATTGGTTACCTATATTGGCGTCATTAATGCTTCTGCGGTTACAAGTTCCTGTTTTTACTGCCTAACCTGACATCCTGTTTTTCTCCTTGACATCCTGTTTTTCTCCTTTTGCCCTTTGTGGTCAGACATGACCTTCTCATCTTATACACGACTGTATACACTTTCAACTGTTCTCAATCTCCGGCCCCCTACATCTCCCCCTCTTTTTTCAAATAGCATGTCTATCACTTTATATATTTGCGACAACAGACACTGTAATAAGCAAGGTCCACAGCAAAGGCAAAGCAATAAAATGATAGAGGGACCGGCTAAAGCTATTATTATATTGCGTAGCCAGTTTCCTATTCCCCAAGAGCGTAGCCAACTATCAAAAGGGTTGCTATTGATCGTTAAATCGTGCATGCCGTCTTGTAACTGTTGTAACTTCTTATGTATTGACGCAGAGTGATCAGATAAATTAAAACAACACATGCCTTCAAATTCTGCACACCCATGTCCATGCGCTAAAAGCAAAAAGTCAATAGCTGCTCGATTCTGTAGTACCGCATGTCTTACAGAATCAACATCAAGAGTAAGTTGTCCTATAATGTCAGAGGTGATGTTGATTTGCTTCCCAGCCCAACATGCTAGCCGTGTTATTTGTTTCAACGCATGGGCTGCTGAAACATGAGGAGCAAAGATAGAAGCTAAGATTTGGATAGGGGAACTCCACAAAACTATGTGAGAGTTGCAGTTTTGATTCATCATGGCTATACTCCTTTTTTGTCGTTTGGGTGATCGGGTAACATTCTGCAGGTCTCTTAGTTGTGGGGAGAACAAAGTCAATTTGCCTAACCAACAGGGGCCTCCCCATGGGCTAGCTGGAATGCCGTTCCATGCCCTATCTCCACAGACTAGAAACGTAGCAGGGGGTAAACGCCGTGGGGATTTGTTAAGCGTCTCAATAAAGTCTACTCCGTTTAGGCAATAGGGGCTTCCCATGCTGTAATTATAGATCTCAACATTAGAGGGGGTTACGATTACACTGTCATTGACTGGGCGCTTGTGTTCTGGGTTATTGTAAATGTCTCCGAAAACAACACAATAATTTCCTGGCTTGGAGCCCAGCAATTCTAACTCTTGTGGTTCTAGACCAGTATGATTTAAATTCAGTAATATTTTACGTGTCCACCATGCAAGCCCCCATTGGTATAAGGCTAAACCATTTTCGCTTCTTCTTGTAATCTGTATCTGACACCATGTCGTATTACCCCAAGTGCTTTTGTTATTGCTAAGGCTTGCTGTAGCTTTGCAGACTTGAATTATGAATTGACTTTCATTGTGGGGCATTGGAACCTTGGGCTTTGTCCATCCTCGCATAACCAAAAGGTCGGTGTATGACTGAAAGGGTATGCCTAATAGACAAGTGCGAAATGGATCGGAAGGTGTGGCTAAGGATAGGCAAAAGGATGTTAGATTAGTCTGATTAGCCCATGTAATCCACATGTTTTGCCTCTGGTCAACTTTTGTTAGCCAAGAGGTGACGCCAGAGGCGAACAGTATGAGCAGTGCTATGATATCCTTCATTTCTGCGCAGCCTTTCAACTGCTTCTGCTAACGCTTTATCAGGGCTTCTTCTAAAGGGCCCTACTAATGTAAAAAATCTCAGGGGTACCTTCCGACTGCACCGTGTTTGAAGTATGTATGTTTTCCCCTGACTTTCTAGGCGATGTACCTCCTTCTCCAATGCCCACCTACAGTATGCTAATATTTTTTGCTCTAGCGATTCAAAGTGTAGACGTCGCTGTTGAATGCGAAAAAGCTCTTGCTCCCACGTTGCGGTTGAATAGCTATACTCACACCTTGGACACCACCTCTTATTAAGTAATCTCTGATTCCACCAAATTTTGTGATTACAACCCCCACACCTTAGAGCAACCCAGGAAAAACAGAGCTCACTTTGACATACTAAACAAGGCTGTTCGTCCCACCCTTTGCGAGTAGTTACTGATAATAATTCAAGGATGCCCAAGTAATTATTCAATGACGGTTTCTGGTGGTAATCCCAGCCACTGGCCTCCTTCGCTACCGCCGAGTGCAGCAGTCTTTGTTGTACTAAAGCAACCTTTTGTTGTATTCGCTGTCGTGATGTTTCATCAAGCTGTCGGAGCGCTTCCTGTATCGCTATTCTCGGCTGCTGCTGCATCCACCTTGGAGAGCCAGGGTTTCACCCACCGAGCCGGTATCCACCGAGGCTGTTCCTGTCCCTTCCAGCGCCTGGTCGGATCGAAAGAATCATCTCGCGGAGGCCCCCGGGCTCCGTCTGCCCCACGCCTATCAAAAGGATCTGTCCCACGCTTATCAAAAGGCAGTCTCCTACGAACATCTATCTCCTCTCTGCCTTCGTCTACTGCCCTTTGTAGTTGTTCTTTCTCTCCCGTCGTAAGCCCTTCGTGTGCCCCTAGAAGTCGCTGTATCAACTGCTGTCCTTCCGCTATTGTCAACCTACGCTGCAGGATGGCTTGTTTGATTCCTTCTCTGCCTCCCCATTCAGCCACCTCATGTCTATTAAGCTGCTCTTCTATGTTCTGTATCCCTTGTTGTACTGCTTTAGCCGCTTTCTCATATAACTCCCACATTTTGCCCTTCCCCCCTTTAGAGTCTATTTCTTGCATTGCCCCCAGCAACTTAGCCATCTGCTCTCGTTGCAACCGTAGCTCGTCGACAAGAGGATTCTGAGGGGACGTTTTTCCGTCCTCCGGTAACGGTACTTTAGCTGGATCAACCTCCATAGCCTCCGGGGGAGGGGGCGCAGAAGGCGCAGCAGCTGTCCCAGCAGAAATCTCGTTAGGGGTCCAAGGGGGAATGAGATCCTCAAACTCTCCCCGAAACATAGGCGCTGCTAGTGGGGGGTACAATGGGGGAGGATCAGATTTTGCCTCCCAATCTATCAACGTCGAACAACTGTCCTTTCCCTCCTCGTCTTTTTCCTTTTCCTTCGGCTGTGTAGAACAATCGAGGGCTTTTTGCAAAGCAGTGGCGATTTCAGCATCAGCATGGACTTGTTGAATCATCTCCCGAACTATTCGGAAGATCTGCGCCATCTGCTTGCTCCCCTTTTGGCCGTTCTGCACACTTTGCCATAATTCAGACCCAATCTTTTCCCAATGTTCGATATCAAACAATTGATCAGAAGAAGTCAAGAGACCACGTCTCCGACACCAATACAAGAAGTCCACGAGCTCATCTCGAGGGAGCGTGTGCCCAGTCCTTTTCGCTACACTGAGCAACCCGTCGACTGTAGCTCGTTCTATCGCTGATACAGCGGCACCCATCCCGTCCAGACCGCAGTCTGCCTGACTCACCGGTCAGCCGTGGCCACAACAAGGATCCTGCTTCTCGAGCAGCCTGCTTTCCTAGCAGCCGGGATGTCTCCACCTTCTCTCGTCCGCAGCGTCCGTGCAGTATCACGTCGGGGTCACCACAGTGCAGCGGCCAGGTGGAGGGGAGCAAGAACACCGATACGATGTGGGTAAAGCAGAACTCCGTTTATTGAAGCTTCTATGACTACATTTATGTTTGTTTCACTTCCGTACACGCGATCACGCATAAGCTTATTGGCTAAGTCACCTTGTCCACGCGCAATACATGCGAGCAAGGGGTTCTCTTCATTGGTTACCTATATTGGCGTCATTAATGCTTCTGCGGTTACAAGTTCCTGTTTTTACTGCCCAACCTGACATCCTGTTTTTCTCCTTTTGTCCTTTGTGGTCAGACATGACCTTCTCATCTTCTACACGACTGTATACACTTTCAACTGTTCTCAATCTCCGGCCCCCTACAGCTGATGCCACCAGCACAGAACTCTGAGAACAAACTCAGAGTTGTGTTTATACCCTGTACAGAATTAAGTGGTAATGAGAGGTTCATATTCCTTGGATTAGTCAACAGCAGCTTTCAAAGTCTTCCTACGCATCATTTGCAATAATAGTTCACGCTGGATGACTCTGAAAAATTCTGACATTCAAGGCATTATATTTTCAATATGCTTAAAAAATTAAATGTGTAAGGAAGGTACTTCTCTAAGTTTTTATCAGGATTTTATTGACCTCTTGAATAGGTCAACAGAAGTATGAAATATGGCTGGGGGTGCCAGCCACGAGGTTAAACCCAGGGTGAGGGGATATCTGGTGTTTATTGTTTTATCTGAAATTTTTCACTGATTGGTGTTTTCTGGGGTTTTATTCTCTCACCCCTGAGATCCAAAGACCTTCAAATATCAATAGTTTAAAAATACGTGAAGCATGTTTTAATTCTCTACAGTATGACATTTATAATCATAACTTCCATGGCTTCGAAGCTGCTGAAGGGAAAACTAACTTCAATAATTGTGACACCTTCAACATCTTTTGACCCGTTAGTTAAATTGATTTGTGTTACCCAGCTGCTTTTAAACAAAATTAGCTCTGCTGGTTAGAGCATGGTGCTGATAACACCAAGGTTGTGGGTTTGATCCCTGTCCAGGCCATTCATGTAAGAGTTGGACACAATGATCCTTGTGGGTCCCTTCCCACTCAGACTGTTCTGTGATTCTGTGAAATAAGCACTTTTCTTCTAGCTATTGAAGATCTTCACAGTGGAGACACTGGATATAGAAAAAAGTATTTCTAACTTTTAATTTTTTATGCATTTAATAAATGCATAGAAATAAATGTCTATTAGCTGTAGAGTTTTGAAGCAGCTGCCTGGAATTAGAGTTTTTACAGACAAAGATTAAAAGGAAGCTTTAATGATAAAACACCGGGAACTTTTCAGAAGTTCTGTTATTAAATATAGTGCACATAAGGTAACACTCATGTTTTTATTGTCATTCCCTTAATATTCTTGGTTGCATTAATAAAGTAATGCTGTGTTCAAGAGGAAGTAGAAATGAATTTCAGTAGATNATTACACTGTCATTGACTGGGCGCTTGTGTTCTGGGTTATTGTAAATGTCTCCGAAAACAACACAATAATTTCCTGGCTTGGAGCCCAGCAATTCTAACTCTTGTGGTTCTAGACCAGTATGATTTAAATTCAGTAATATTTTACGTGTCCACCATGCAAGCCCCCATTGGTATAAGGCTAAACCATTTTCGCTTCTTCTTGTAATCTGTATCTGACACCATGTCGTATTACCCCAAGTGCTTTTGTTATTGCTAAGGCTTGCTGTAGCTTTGCAGACTTGAATTATGAATTGACTTTCATTGTGGGGCATTGGAACCTTGGGCTTTGTCCATCCTCGCATAACCAAAAGGTCGGTGTATGACTGAAAGGGTATGCCTAATAGACAAGTGCGAAATGGATCGGAAGGTGTGGCTAAGGATAGGCAAAAGGATGTTAGATTAGTCTGATTAGCCCATGTAATCCACATGTTTTGCCTCTGGTCAACTTTTGTTAGCCAAGAGGTGACGCCAGAGGCGAACAGTATGAGCAGTGCTATGATATCCTTCATTTCTGCGCAGCCTTTCAACTGCTTCTGCTAACGCTTTATCAGGGCTTCTTCTAAAGGGCCCTACTAATGTAAAAAATCTCAGGGGTACCTTCCGACTGCACCGTGTTTGAAGTATGTATGTTTTCCCCTGACTTTCTAGGCGATGTACCTCCTTCTCCAATGCCCACCTACAGTATGCTAATATTTTTTGCTCTAGCGATTCAAAGTGTAGACGTCGCTGTTGAATGCGAAAAAGCTCTTGCTCCCACGTTGCGGTTGAATAGCTATACTCACACCTTGGACACCACCTCTTATTAAGTAATCTCTGATTCCACCAAATTTTGTGATTACAACCCCCACACCTTAGAGCAACCCAGGAAAAACAGAGCTCACTTTGACATACTAAACAAGGCTGTTCGTCCCACCCTTTGCGAGTAGTTACTGATAATAATTCAAGGATGCCCAAGTAATTATTCAATGACGGTTTCTGGTGGTAATCCCAGCCACTGGCCTCCTTCGCTACCGCCGAGTGCAGCAGTCTTTGTTGTACTAAAGCAACCTTTTGTTGTATTCGCTGTCGTGATGTTTCATCAAGCTGTCGGAGCGCTTCCTGTATCGCTATTCTCGGCTGCTGCTGCATCCACCTTGGAGAGCCAGGGTTTCACCCACCGAGCCGGTATCCACCGAGGCTGTTCCTGTCCCTTCCAGCGCCTGGTCGGATCGAAAGAATCATCTCGCGGAGGCCCCCGGGCTCCGTCTGCCCCACGCCTATCAAAAGGATCTGTCCCACGCTTATCAAAAGGCAGTCTCCTACGAACATCTATCTCCTCTCTGCCTTCGTCTACTGCCCTTTGTAGTTGTTCTTTCTCTCCCGTCGTAAGCCCTTCGTGTGCCCCTAGAAGTCGCTGTATCAACTGCTGTCCTTCCGCTATTGTCAACCTACGCTGCAGGATGGCTTGTTTGATTCCTTCTCTGCCTCCCCATTCAGCCACCTCATGTCTATTAAGCTGCTCTTCTATGTTCTGTATCCCTTGTTGTACTGCTTTAGCCGCTTTCTCATATAACTCCCACATTTTGCCCTTCCCCCCTTTAGAGTCTATTTCTTGCATTGCCCCCAGCAACTTAGCCATCTGCTCTCGTTGCAACCGTAGCTCGTCGACAAGAGGATTCTGAGGGGACGTTTTTCCGTCCTCCGGTAACGGTACTTTAGCTGGATCAACCTCCATAGCCTCCGGGGGAGGGGGCGCAGAAGGCGCAGCAGCTGTCCCAGCAGAAATCTCGTTAGGGGTCCAAGGGGGAATGAGATCCTCAAACTCTCCCCGAAACATAGGCGCTGCTAGTGGGGGGTACAATGGGGGAGGATCAGATTTTGCCTCCCAATCTATCAACGTCGAACAACTGTCCTTTCCCTCCTCGTCTTTTTCCTTTTCCTTCGGCTGTGTAGAACAATCGAGGGCTTTTTGCAAAGCAGTGGCGATTTCAGCATCAGCATGGACTTGTTGAATCATCTCCCGAACTATTCGGAAGATCTGCGCCATCTGCTTGCTCCCCTTTTGGCCGTTCTGCACACTTTGCCATAATTCAGACCCAATCTTTTCCCAATGTTCGATATCAAACAATTGATCAGAAGAAGTCAAGAGACCACGTCTCCGACACCAATACAAGAAGTCCACGAGCTCATCTCGAGGGAGCGTGTGCCCAGTCCTTTTCGCTACACTGAGCAACCCGTCGACTGTAGCTCGTTCTATCGCTGATACAGCGGCACCCATCCCGTCCAGACCGCAGTCTGCCTGACTCACCGGTCAGCCGTGGCCACAACAAGGATCCTGCTTCTCGAGCAGCCTGCTTTCCTAGCAGCCGGGATGTCTCCACCTTCTCTCGTCCGCAGCGTCCGTGCAGTATCACGTCGGGGTCACCACAGTGCAGCGGCCAGGTGGAGGGGAGCAAGAACACCGATACGATGTGGGTAAAGCAGAACTCCGTTTATTGAAGCTTCTATGACTACATTTATGTTTGTTTCACTTCCGTACACGCGATCACGCATAAGCTTATTGGCTAAGTCACCTTGTCCACGCGCAATACATGCGAGCAAGGGGTTCTCTTCATTGGTTACCTATATTGGCGTCATTAATGCTTCTGCGGTTACAAGTTCCTGTTTTTACTGCCCAACCTGACATCCTGTTTTTCTCCTTTTGTCCTTTGTGGTCAGACATGACCTTCTCATCTTCTACACGACTGTATACACTTTCAACTGTTCTCAATCTCCGGCCCCCTACAGCTGATGCCACCAGCACAGAACTCTGAGAACAAACTCAGAGTTGTGTTTATACCCTGTACAGAATTAAGTGGTAATGAGAGGTTCATATTCCTTGGATTAGTCAACAGCAGCTTTCAAAGTCTTCCTACGCATCATTTGCAATAATAGTTCACGCTGGATGACTCTGAAAAATTCTGACATTCAAGGCATTATATTTTCAATATGCTTAAAAAATTAAATGTGTAAGGAAGGTACTTCTCTAAGTTTTTATCAGGATTTTATTGACCTCTTGAATAGGTCAACAGAAGTATGAAATATGGCTGGGGGTGCCAGCCACGAGGTTAAACCCAGGGTGAGGGGATATCTGGTGTTTATTGTTTTATCTGAAATTTTTCACTGATTGGTGTTTTCTGGGGTTTTATTCTCTCACCCCTGAGATCCAAAGACCTTCAAATATCAATAGTTTAAAAATACGTGAAGCATGTTTTAATTCTCTACAGTATGACATTTATAATCATAACTTCCATGGCTTCGAAGCTGCTGAAGGGAAAACTAACTTCAATAATTGTGACACCTTCAACATCTTTTGACCCGTTAGTTAAATTGATTTGTGTTACCCAGCTGCTTTTAAACAAAATTAGCTCTGCTGGTTAGAGCATGGTGCTGATAACACCAAGGTTGTGGGTTTGATCCCTGTCCAGGCCATTCATGTAAGAGTTGGACACAATGATCCTTGTGGGTCCCTTCCCACTCAGACTGTTCTGTGATTCTGTGAAATAAGCACTTTTCTTCTAGCTATTGAAGATCTTCACAGTGGAGACACTGGATATAGAAAAAAGTATTTCTAACTTTTAATTTTTTATGCATTTAATAAATGCATAGAAATAAATGTCTATTAGCTGTAGAGTTTTGAAGCAGCTGCCTGGAATTAGAGTTTTTACAGACAAAGATTAAAAGGAAGCTTTAATGATAAAACACCGGGAACTTTTCAGAAGTTCTGTTATTAAATATAGTGCACATAAGGTAACACTCATGTTTTTATTGTCATTCCCTTAATATTCTTGGTTGCATTAATAAAGTAATGCTGTGTTCAAGAGGAAGTAGAAATGAATTTCAGTAGATTTTTCACAGCTCTGTGTGTTAAATGTGTTCGGTGGATCACTGAAATGAGTAACTTATCTAAGAATTCAATATTTTCAGTTAAACTAATTCAGTACATTTATTTTTCAACCAGCATTAAATATTTTATAACCCCAGTATAATTGTACCTTGATTTAAAACATTGTTAATGTGAGAATTTGTGATTCTGCAGATTTGAAGTCGTGTCTGTGTTTAACGGGCGGCCGACGTGGATTCGTTTTGAAGTTGTAGGAATCCAATGATGAGGGTTTATCCACACTTCAACTGTTATTGATCTCACTTTACTCTTAAGGAAATATCAATCCTCGGTCTTCTGCACTCCTCTGCAAAATGCAAAGAAGATCTTACTTTAAGGATTGTCCCCAAACAATTTCAAACTTGAAAAAGTGTGCAAAACCACCTTCCCAAAACCCCAAGTACATCCTTGTATGCACAGCATTGGGAAAGTTATCTGTGTGTCTGAGTGTTACATATGTTGCTCAGATGTTGGGGGGGATGTTTAAGCATTAATTTTTGCCTGTGTTTTATGTTAACTGTGTATAATTATTGTGTTGCCATCTAGCCAAGGATGCTGGTGTGGTGGCATAAATAGAAACAGAGCTGCATTGTTTCGAAGAGACTGGAGATGGATCAAGTGAGAGACAGGGAAGTCAGAGTAAATGATGACAGTAATGTTATTGTGCCCTAAGGGTCTTGCAAAGTACGGTACTTAAAACCCAATTTTTTGCTTTGTAGATAAGTGAGCGTGTCTCGGTTAAATCAATATATGTGTGCAATAGATGATAAAACTTGGTATTACATACCTTCTTTGATATTTTTCATACTTACTGCTTTAAAGGTAACATTATATTTATTTTCAGAACACTCTAAAGTACTTTATGCTTTTTGTTATGAGCTTTCCAACATGCTGCTTGGTTTAGTAATGGGAGCTCAGGCAGCCCAAAATTGTCACTCTCATGTTGGGTATTTACTGATGGTTAATTGACTGCTGACCTTTGCCAGGACTCTCTTCAAAGAGCAGGGAGTGACACCAGGGGATAACAAATCAAAGAAATTGAAAAGCAGGTGAGAAAAGGTAATTCTATGCAGTTACATTTAAATTTTGAAGGCTGGTTTTTTTTGGATAAAAACAAAGGTTAAAAACAAACAACACCCCATAGATATTTTAATGTACTCCAATACAAAAATGGGAAACTTTTACTTACTCGTCTTCTTCACTGTGATTTACTTGTCCTTGACTGATATTTTTTTTTTAATGGATGAGCCAGCTTTCAAAGTCCTCAAAATGATTTAATTATTACAGCACACAGGGCCCCAAATCAGATTTAAGTTTTTTTGATAGAGTTTATGGAATGAACCAGCGAACAGATGCAGAGGATGGAAAGCTGCTGGTACTCAAATCAACTAGATGATTCTGCAGGCAGAAGATTCCCCATAGACCTTAACTGAAAGGTCAGGAGGTAACCTTAGTATGTGCCATTTAATCCAATGTCATTGGGATAAATATATTGTAACTGTGTGTCTGCAGTGTATCAGGAACTGTAGAACTGGTAAACTCGCAATGTTCTCAGTGTATTGCCAAATAAAGCCATGCAGCATTCAATAAAGCAATTACATGAAAAGCATTACAGTCAACTTCAATTCCAATACTAGCAGCATAATCAATCATTTTCAATCCAAGGGATGGTCTAATCGCTTTTTGTTGCTGCTTTGAAAGGTTACGTTACTCAGTTATCTTGCAGCTGAGCAACCTTTTCGTGTTTGCTTCATGTAGGATTTTATAAATGTTCTTTCTTTTAATCTCAGTGCTTTGGTGCTGGGTTTAGTGAGAGTTAAAAAATTTCCCTAACCTTATTCTGATAACTTTTTGCAGTTCTTAAACATTCTTGGAGAAGAAGACCTAATTGTTGTGAGCAACAAACATGTGATTTTTTTCAGTCCTTTTTGTTCTTTGTGCTTTGTTCTTTGTTGCCACTTTTCTTTGTGGTGGAATAATTATCCTACATAAGTCATCTCATTTGGTTTCATCTGGTGCTTGTTCCTGTGCAGTTCAGGGACTTGCCTTCCCTTGGCACAATTCCTGCAGTGAGTCTGACCATCTCACAGAGTTTGTTCTTCAGTCTCAGTCCTGTGACCAGCAGTGGTTGCTCTGCTCTGCTTTGCTCTCAGCTCAGGGCTGTTAGAGATCACTGCTGGTGGGTGTTAATTGGTACCACCTAGGAAACACTATTGAATTCCTTCCTCAGTCAGGTAATTTGGGAAGCAGTTAAGGGCAATTGTGTTATCACCATTAGGACAGTGCTAGTGTGTTGCAACTTTAGTGAAAAGACAGATGTGAGAGAATGGAAAAAAGATGGGAATAAAAATGGGGAAAAAAGATGATTTCCATCAAGCTTTCCTCCTGCTTCACCTCTTAAGAATAACAGGTGGTTGACTGATAAAGTGACAGGCGATTCAACTTCTTTTCTGTAAGTTTTATAGGGCCTGATCTTTTTTTTCTCCGGAAACCTAGATACTTTGTGAAAGATCCTTGTTTTCAGGTCTTTTGGAACCAGTTCTAGCCAGTACTTTACTGGTGGATGGTGCCATTTAGACAATATTAACTACAATGTAAAAGATTAGCTTTTAAGCAAAAGGATATCTCCTTTTCTTAGATACAGACCTGGCCAATATTTCCTTGAATTACTGTGTCCTGGAGGCTGCCTGTCAGCCCATAAATTTGCTTCTTCCCTAAACCTGTAGAATTAGCATATTTTGCATGAATGACAACTACAAGGTCTGTAGCATTTTAGTTGTTTTCCCATTTAAATAGCAACTGAAACAGCTGGGAAATTTTAGTTTAAGAATAAATTATCAGAGATTTGCTTCTTTTTATATCCTTGGTATTGGCAAAGCTGTCTATCTGTTAATGTATTGCTGATGGATTTTTCATTTATTTATTTATTAAATCCTAACAGTTTCTTCATGTCCGGCCCGAATATCCATGATAGTGCCAGTGGTTCCTGCTATCCCATGGACACATATATGTGTTCTGGCCTGCTTATCTTTGGGTAGCTGTTAACACTCCATACATCTGAATGAATGTCTGTTGTGTTGTTTTTTATTATTTTTAGTCTTTGTCAACATAAATCTGTTCTTCTGTTGCCTCTGTGCACTGACAGCTGCACGGAGGTGGCACAGGATGTCACAGGAATCTGCTGATTGTTAGTGTCATGGGTTATTTTGGTTTTTTTTTTCTTTTTTTTTTGTTAAGCTAGACTGGTAAATGCCATATGTAAAATTTCATAGCTTTCTCATAAAACCCTTTTAGTATCTTTCTAGGCACTCTCATGATAAACTTTCCCTTAAGCATACAGAGAAATTAAATGTGAGAACCTGCGGCCAAAAGAAGTTGCTCCAAGGCAATGATTCACAAGGATGAAAAATCAATAAGAGTTTCATTAAGGAAGGAAGAAAAGTTTAGACGGGCTCTTTACTTTGCTTTCCTGTGGGAAGTAGGGGGAAAAACCATTTTATTCAGCCTTATTCTTAGAAATAGGAGTCATAATGTGGATGTGGGTATTTTGAAGCAGTGCTGCAAGTGGAATTATCCTCCGGAGAAGCTGCCTTGGCTGATAACTTGGAACTTGTTCAGTTGGGTGTATTTATTCGAAAGGTTTCAGTGTGGACTTGTAGAACTGCTGCCAAAGGGAGCTATATCCTCCCCTGGACAGAGGTTTCCATCCATATCCCCACTCCTCAGTGGCTCGGGTTGGATGAGGATGCTGGATGAGTCGATTTGAAACTTTTGACAGAAATTGTATTTTCCCCCCTGTATTTAGAAGGATTTTCTGTTGAATCAGCAGTGTGAGAAGTGACCTGCCCTGCAGCAGAT